GTCTAGTCCCTATTTTGTTGAAGTCTTTTCCTTCTCATTTAACTCCTCATTAAAAGACCAGAGTGAGAAACTGGGACTTTATTTAGGTTCTTACTGTAACAATCACTTTCACAGGCTTCCTACCTCAAAGCTGTTTTTTTCGAGAGTAAATGACTGTTACATGAAACATTTGTATTTGTGATATATGTTGGTTATTTCCTTCTTTCAGAGTTGATATGAAAAAGTAATTAAAATAGAGCATATCTTTATTATTGTTTAGTTAAATTACAGTAAAAATATTTAAACATATGAGAATACACTTTCTATTGACTTAATGCTTACAATTTCTCTTCAGCTCAACTTCTTTAATTTTTAATTTTGCATGTGTGTAATTATTTGCAGCATAGTAGCTATGCTGTATCTTAGAACATATTTTGTTTGTGATTTTTTATGTAGACTTTGAAAGCTCAGTCAAGAAGTAAGAAAGAAGAATAAGAAATAACTAAGTCATAAATAAAATTGCAGAATCTAAACTGTTCAGGTTTTATCATACCATTTGGGGTCACCTATCTTTTCTGAGGAACTGTCCAGAGTAAACAACACATCCTTGTCTTTCCCTTTCTACCAGCACCTTTTTTCCTTTCTTCCTTCCTTCTTTCTATTTCTTTTGCTGCTGCCTAACTTTATAGTTTAGCTTTCAAGGCAACTCCATAATAATTTCTTTCTTGTATTCTGGAAAATAAAATTAATTTAGACAGAAAGACAGTTAAGTCTTTCTCTCTATATTGAAATGATAAACATGAAAAGACAAAAGTGGATATTCTGTAGCATGGAGTAAATACAGGATTAGAGGTGGAAGCAATACAGACTATAAAAACCCCTCAAATATTTTCTTTGCTAATGTTCATTAAAATAATATTTGTTTTCTTATGATTTTTTTCTTTCTTTATATGTGACCATTGATTATAAATATAAGAAAATGATTGGGAGGAAACTAAATGATAGAGTGTTAGAAATGCAAAATGATTCAAAATATTAATGTAATGCTAAGGATGACTGGGTAACAAATGGTACATTTGCCAGTATGCTTGACCTGACACAATTAATATTCCAGGTCATGCTTGGGTTTCCATGATGGAAGGTCTGAGGCAGAGAATTCTAGGGGAAAATATATCTATTGTATAACTCATTTCTCTCTCTCTTTTTTTTTTTATTTTTTTCTTATTTTCCCTGAAGAGTCAGAACCATAGTCTTAAAAAAAAATATATCTGTGCTTTCACACCTCATTTGCCATATTCACCACTGGGCCACCATTCACCAGAAGGGCCTGATGCAAGGAGGTCAGTAAGAAGCTATTAGCGGAGTCCCCTCCTGAGATTTCTTTGGTCTTATTGAGGTGGAAGTTAGCATGACAGTATTGCAAATAACTCACTTGTAAGTTTTTAACAGTTAGCACAGATTTCCCCATAGTGTTTGTCACTTTAGAAAATTATTCCTGGAAAAGAAATCCCAAAAGCTGGCTTTGACAGAGTCCTGAGTGTTGAAGAGCATGGTACAGAAAAATGTCATTCTCCCTGAGACAAGAGCTACTTTTTGTAATCTATGATAATATTTTGGAGGGTTACATATTTTCTTATGAACTAAAGGTGGGGAAAATATTGAAATCATAGTTTGAGGTAATATCTCAAGACAGATACTTTTCTACTATTGAAAAAGCAGTATTAAATGCAATGGTTTTGTAGTTGAGAGAATATTGTATTAAAGTAGGGAAAAAATTAAGTAATACTTTTCATACATTGCACTTGTCTCAAGAAGATATGCAAATGTATTAAGTACCAAAGGCTTTGTTCCTCCAGATTCTTAGATTTCTGCAGACTGCCAGCTACCTGCAGAGGATAGAGTGAATAGGACATTCATCACCACACTGCACATGTGCAAGAAATTCCAAAATTCAGATTAAGATTTGCAGAGATATTTTAGTGGAAGCAATTTTTCCAGAGGTTAATCTGAACTGGAAAGTAGAATCCAACTCCTCCTCTTGTCTCTCCTACCAAACTTTGCAAATTTTACATTTAGGCTTACCCTTACCACAAACCTTGGGGAATTTAGAATAAATTAGTATTAACTTTATCTGTCTAGATACTAATTCTGCTGATTGCTCTGCTGTCTTGTTGAATACTTAAACATATAAAATTGAAATGTAAAATAATTAACAAGGATTGCTTGAAAAATTATTATTTAAAGATGTGCTTCATAATCAATTTTGACCCATATCTTACAGTTGCAACCGTAGAAGAAGCAAGAAAGTTTCCAGCTGGGCTTTCTAAACTCCAAATTCATTTTCATAGTTGATATACTATCTGTATGTGTTTAATCTGAGAGTAGGTAAAAAAAGAGCAACAAAAGATGACTCTTTGTTAAGACACCTTTTCAGCAATAATAAATCAAAAGACACTGAATGAATGGATTTCCACATCTCTTATAGCTAATTTTGGTTTCATTAAAAGTGCTAAAAGCCAATTCTATTAGTGCATCTTGAGATATTCAGTAGCATTTCACAGTGTTTGAACCTTTTATGAACTATAGCTTTTTATTACTGCCAAACATTTAATCGGAGGAACACAAAGTAGAATATACACAGTATCTCAATATAGATTGCAAAATGCAGTTTCAGAAAGCCACTATACTCATGAAGATATGTACTATCTCTCAATGTGACTAAAAGAAGCAACACCATTTCTTGGGGCCCAGACAGTGCATCAATTTAAAGTTATTGCATGTAATTCTTCAGTGGAAAAACATTTAAATTATTTAAGATGTATTTTTTCACTTTGGAGAAACAAAACCAAAAACCAAACCTGAGCTATGTAGATTGAAATAATCTAGTATTTTTTTTGTTAAAAAAAATGAAAAGATTTCCTCCCTTTTTAAGCTTGTTGGCTTAAAAAGGCATGTAAGTTTTGGACAGGTTCAACCCTGGTCAGGATTTGCTACTGATCAACAAATCCATGCCTGCCAACTCCAGAGAGTCGTTACCATGCCATAGTTGTTTGTTACGGATCACCCTGATTCTCAGTTATGCACATGAGATGTTTTTCTTCTGGATAATGTTTACATTTTCAGTGACATTGTCAGAATGTAGGCAGATCCAATGGCCATGGTGGGACTAATGAGTGAAGGGATATAATGACCATGGCATAAAGATGGTTTGTGTTACTTCAGCATGGAATCTAGTTTGTATGAATCTAATACATATTCAATTTGTATGGAACTTGCATTGACTGTGGCATTTTATATTTGAGAGAACTTGTGTAACACATATATAGTGTAAATGCATTCAATAATTGGAGGACAGTGCAATAGAGTCAAGACAACATATGGAACTTTGTGTTTATGTAGCACTTACAGATCACCAAGTATTCACAAGCAAAACCCAACTGATAAGAAAATTGCAATTTGATTGTGTATGAAACACTGAAAAAATACTAACAGCATTAGGAGGATCTGTAACTTTATGGGGTATTTATGTGAGTAAGAGCCAGACTTGCAGAACCAAAGATTAAGATGCAGCTGGACTTTACAGATCACACAGATGGACCTGCAATTTCACATTCACTCCAGTGATTCTGCTTGCCTGCTGTTTGAAGCATGGATCCCTGCCATTTTAGTTTGGCATCCTGAAGAGCTGAATGAACAACCAGTGGTTGCTTGGCATACATACATATATGTTTCTACCACTTATCTCTATTCATGTCCTCTTTCCCATTATACATTTAGGCCATTAGTATAATAGTTTATAGGGTTTGCACTAAGAGGGGAACATACAACAGAGGACCAAAATAAATCGTCATTAGAGCCAGATCACTCACAGAGTTAAGACTATAGCCCATAAAATTTTGAATAGCCCAAAAGTATTTTGAATAAGCTATCATCTCTGAATATTCTAGTGCATTAAACACTATGTTTTATATATGCCTTATTTAACTGTTTTGACACAAGAAACTGGAACTTCCCAGTAGGATATATTAATGAAAAATGCATTAGAGCTAATTGGGAAGTGTTCAATCCTCTCAGCCTCAAGAGATTAATACTTTATGAGGAGGCTAACGCCCTACATAGTTTTCTCATGGGTCCTCTGTAGCGTTCCAAAGGAGCAATACAAGATTTTAAACATTTACTCTTTTCCATAACTTTTCCTGCATCATGAAACTGATTTCCCTATTTTTATTCAATATTTCTTAGCAATTAGAATTAGGATAAAAGCAAAGGATAATATATTTTAACTGAGAAAATCTACTTTAAAAGTCTTAAGAATACTCTGAGTATACTGTTGTAGAAAATATAATTATCCTTAAAGAAACTCGTATCTTTAAATTAATTTTTGCCAGGTGTATTTTAAGCATATGTTATCTGTTTTATAGAAGATTTAGTGGCTTTGTGCAATATGGAATAGGAATTCTCATGTTTAACAGCTCATAATTAATTCAGTAAACTCACATATGTCTGTTTGGGAATTGTTTATATACAACTGATAAAATGCCTACATTTATAGGAATGATTTGGGAACAGTCTGTCACATAATTTTGACTTGCCAAATATTCACAGATTGCTAATTAGGTAGATTACTAGATCAGAATTTGAAATGTGTACTTTGTATTAGTCATTGTTATATTAGATCACACTAGTGATTCATTAATGATGTATCCTGAAAAAAATGAAATATCAAATTCAATGAAGAATGAATCTTTCAATTTAATTCACAATTCAGAAATTCTTGTGCTAAATTTTGGGATTTTACAAGTTTTATGCTATTAAAACTAAACACATTTGAATAGTTATAGGAATTTATTGTGGACATTTTGTTGGGGGAAAAAAGTGAATATTGAGTTTTGGTATTCCATAAATTTTCTTCTGTTTCTCCTTAACTAAAAATGCTGCAGGTGCCACTGTCTATTTTTGTTCCTATTGCGTATTAGAATCTAAATAAGTTGAAGTTGAAGGTAACCCCATCTTCTGCTCAGATTGCAGGCATCTACAATTCGCCATTCAGAAAATCCCCAGACCCAATGGAACTGCTGCTACGGAATTCAAAGCCACTGAGCCACAGAAGGAAGCAAGTGAAGAGTCCCGTTGCCTATGAGCTCTATGACTGGCCAACTTGTAAGAAGCCCCCAGCTTTCGCCACAGCACTGCCTCTGCCACCTATTGGCAGACAGAAACCTCAGGTAACATTTTTCGGTGTCTCTGAGGCAGCTTTTGTTCATATATTTTATCATAGATTATCTCAAGTTAAATCATCAGGTCCAAAAATCCCCTTTGTGGATTTGTTGTTTTTGGGGTATTTTTGTTATATATATCTAGTGCTTGCATTTAGGATAAAAAGTCTTTGAACAGAGATTTGACTTAAAGAAATCTAGGTGATATTTAAAAACAGGGAAATGTGATTCTTTAGATGTTGCTTTTGTCCTTTGGGGAAAAAAGTGTAATTTCTGATATTTCAAAGGTATGGCCTCATATAATTGAGTATCAATTTTATGATTCATTAGAGTTAGAAATCATAATTTCCAATTTTAAATCATTAAAAAATAGGAGAAACAAAAGGTAATAGGACAAATTAACCAGTTGTAATAAATTTTTCCTCAGTTTGCAATTGTTTCCCATAAGAAGACTAAGAGAGGTGCTCTCAGTTCAAAATAGTTCCTGCTCTTTTTGTCCACTAAGTCTGTGACAGCTTTAATTACAAAAATTTCTACATTTTGTTCTCCATCACAGCCAAGTTGCCCAGCTTGCGTTCTTAACTGTCATGGTCTCAATTTTAATTTCAGTTATGTCAGCATGTGTTGCAGATAGCTTTTTTTCCCTGTTCTATAAAGTAATGGACATCTCTGAGATAATGCATCAAAGTGAACGTCTCACAAGTTGGCAAAACAGCTTTTGTCACCTTATAATCAAAACCTGCTAGGAATGTGCCCAATATACACAGCAGAAAACTTTTGAAACCTTTATGCTCCTCAGGCAAGCAGCGACAAGACAAGAGGGCATAGCCTCAAACTGTGCCAGGGGGGGTTCAGGTGGGATATCAGGAAGAACTTTTTCACTGAAAGGGTGGTCAGGCATTGGAATGGGCTGCCCAAGGAGGTGATGGAGTCACCATCCCTGGAAGTGCTCAAGAAATGAGTGGACGTGGCACTTAGTGTTATGGTTAAGTTGATAAGGTGGTGTTCAGTCAAAGGTTGGACTCAATGATCTTGGAGGTCTTTTCCAATCTTTATGATTCTGTGATTCTAAGAAGTTGCAGGCCTGTGAGAATACCTCTGGAGAAGTAGAGGTGAGCTGCACAGAGATCCACACTGCAGAGCAGTTCTCTGCCTTTGTCCTTCCCTCCTTATGTTCCCCCTAGCTTGACTACTTGAGCTTCTTCATAGAATGAATTTTTTGACTCACTTCAGAATCGAGACAAAGTGTGAGCCACTAAGCAGTTTGGGTGATCAGGGAGTTTGGAGCTGAGATAAATATGACATTATAGCTTTACCTTCTGGGACCAAAGGGGCTGTGACAGTCCTTGAGCAGGACGTGACTGAATGCATTGTCTCTCAGGACGGAAGGAAAGATTTTGCCTAGTGGGCATGGTACAGGAATCATGCTTTTAGATAATTAAGTAGCTCGAGAGTTTTCCATTGTTAAGGTGCTCTTGCAAAACTGCTTTACTGTGTACAAAGTATCTTACAAGCTTCTGTTCGGATTTGGAATATTTTACAGACCTTTCTAAGTTCAGATGCACGCACAGCAGTCTTGCACAGATAGCCTTTTAGAACAAACCAGAAGAGTTCTGTTTATTTTCCGCACCTCAAAGAGGGAATTTACTATATAATACTTTAATCCTTTCAGCACCCTGGGATGTACACTGTGGGGTAAATTTTCAAAGCACAGCGCGTGGATTTAGCTGCGCGACTCTTATTGATGTTAATGGGAGTCACACGGCTAAATCCCTGCACAACACTTTGACAATTTAGGGTTGTATGTCTAAGAAAAGGACACTGGTTTGAGCTGATGAAACAGCTGGAAATGAAAACCCATCAGAACACACCATCCTGAAAGTTGTCTGGTGTGACAATAAGAAATTTAATTACTAGATATACTTGTGTCCTAGTTCTCTGTGGTAACACTTTCTGGCACCAAGCTTCTTTTTCTAATATCGATCTGGCTCACTCTGAATCACTAGTTACTTTCAGGTATCTAAAATTTTTATTGCTTATATGTTTGGATATTTTTTGTGAGGATGTCAATTGTATATGTTTAAAAGAAAAAACCAAGCTATCTTCTAGTTTTCTCTTAGGGAAATGGATATGTAGCATTTTATAGGTAAGCTCTGTGTGTATAAGATAGTGCATTTAAAAGAAAAGTTTTAATAATGCTTATACATTGGTTAGATCTATCATTTTTATTACTGAGTTCACTAGAATTACAGTTTCATGGAAACACTGATAATGCTAAAATTAGTCATGTATTCATTAAAAAGCATTAATAACAAAAAGCACATTACCATTTTTAGGAGATTTTTTGCATGCTATTAGGTATTCTGGAATGGAGAACAATGAAGAATGCATAATTTCATGAAGATCATATTTTTTATCATGAGTTCCTGATTTTATGGTAAAGTAGTAAGAATGCTGATCTGCTAACCTTTATTTGGCAGACCAATTGCTATTAAGAAGATTTATGCTACTCACTACAAATTCCAAATAGAGCTTTCAGGGTGCACACTGTTGGTTGCCTCCTTTCCTTCCTTTCCTAGCCTGACCTCCCCAGCAAGATTTCCATTTTGAAGCAGGATGCCCGAAATGCTTGCAAACATTGTCAATTTGAAAACATTTTTAAGCACCATTCTACTGCAGTTTCCACAAATGTTGAAATTCATCTTGTAAAATTAAAATAGATAAATGGATTTTTTAGACGTCTTGTCATTTAAGATACATTCCTTGAGTACCTATTGCTAGGTAAGTTTCTTCAAAGAGATTAATCAGAGAAATGGATAATTGTGCAGGGAATGTTTAGAATTATGTCAGTATTCTAATATATATACCCTGCTTTCATTAGTGATGACACAGCTTTGTTTGAGAGACCTTTGCTTAGTTACACTCTTTCCCCTCTCCTTCCATTAGTAGTTTCATTTGAACTATGGACTGATGGTTTGTTTTTTTTTTCATCTAACCCCTAATTAGGTCTTAGAAATTAAAGATGGAGAAAAACCCTTGCTTGGATGTCTGATTTGGCCCTTACTCTGGCGGAATATGAGTCAATATTTTACAGTGAAGAAAAGATGCAATTTTCTGAAAGACTACATTTAAAAGCAAACATATTTATCTTAATATTGTTTGATAATAGTACTTTTCTTTCCTTTCTTCTTTCCTCCATATATCCACTTAATGCAAACATCTTGCAATAAAGAGCCTTCCTTTTTAATAATAAATTTTAAACTTTTTTATAACTTGATCATCAGATTATGTATTACTAGGTAGTGCTATTACTAGGTTTAGTGACCTTTCTAGTATTGATTATTCTCACAGGAGGTAACACTTTTCATTCTGTTTTTAAAGACTTATTGTATTCTTTTTAAATGAATGTGTCTTTTCACCCAGACTTAGAAAGCAGAAGCAAGAGGATATCTGCAAGAAGTGTAAATATTATGCTTATTTACTTACTGGGGCCTTTTAAAAGATCTCAAAATCTTGATGCTGTGCCTTTAAAAAGTAAAGTTCCAATAAAAATCCATTAACTACTTTCAAATATAGCAATCCTCCTGTCCAGCTGTGAAAAGTACTAGATGATACTTATTTGCCATTTGTGTTATTTACGGTCCATGACTTTTATGGTAACTGGTTCCTATTATTGGTTTCTATTAATGTAAAACATAAGTGAACATAAATGAGGCGTGAATCATTTCTTTTTATTAGCCCCACAGTCTTCACTCAGTGCTTGCAGTAACTCCAGCTGTGACTTGTTAGTGATAACCTATTTAAAGAAGGATATCTTTAAGAATGAAGGCTGTGATTAGAATTCTTTGTCTGGTCATAGTTTCAGAAGGTTTCACTAGTTCATTGCAAGATCAACAATGATGAAAATAAAAATTAATTAGTAATACTTCTAAATCCAGGGTTGCCACTAAACTGTCCTGAGTGTAACATGCACTAATTATACTCCTAGTAAGTTCTTACAGGTTAATACTTAAAGCAAGATATATAGGATATGTCACTTCAGCAGCACAGGAGAGGACTTCCTGCTGCTATTTATCCATGTTGTTAAATGCCAGATGCTGATATAACCAGTTATTAAACAATATACTCTGGAAAAAGACATATATGTGTATTTTTTAAGATTAATGAAATTAATGTGGAATTAGACTTTTCAAAAATGGACTATAGATCTGTATTACTGAAGTAATTAGATTGAATTGTATTAGAAGAATTATATCTTAAGTAATGTATTAAGTTCCCTTACATGTAGCTTTATACTTAAATTGAAAAGAGTGTGTTCTTTAAGGTCAAATATTATTTGTCCTGTGGAAAGAAAAAGACGTAAGCTATCTGCTTAAGCAGAATCTAGATACAGTTAATACTTGTGTATCAGATTTTATTTCACTGATATTTTTTTCTAAGGAAAAACTTAAGTTTTTCTAACCAATTCTAACAATATATTGTTTTAAAACATTAAGTGTTTATTAGTAGCTAAATAAATTTGTGGTGCACGTTTCTCATTCTCTCTTTGGAGCTCCAGAGTATCTTATCAACCTCTGTGTTATCTGTAAGCCTCTATCAAAATGAACTGCTTTAATTATTTTGGAAGAAAAGTCTCACTACACTTCCCAGACATTCTGTGTCTTCTTTCATCAGTGATGTGCCACGAATAAAAGACGAAAAGAAAAGAACTGTAACCCCACAATAAAACACTTTACATTATCCTACACCTTTCAGGGGCCTTTCCGCGATACCGCTGAAGTATTGTGGCAGCGCTACAAACCTTTAGAACCAACCTTGCGAGTGGCAGAATCAATCAATTCACCACTGGAGAAGGCCAGAGAGGGAATAAAAAGGGAGGAATGGAGAAATCCTATACATGACAATGAGTAAGTTCTTTGTTTTTTTCTTACATTGTTATGAGAATGTTTTCTTTATTCCATTGCTTTCAGAAACCTTTCATGCCTGACAAAATGAAATGTCAAACCTGACAGCTTACTAGCAAACATTCTATGTTCATACTTCTAAATTCTGTGTCCTCAGATTATAAACTGCTTAGGGCAGAGACCCTATCTTGTAATTGTGTGACATGTGCCATCCATATCTATGAATCTGTAGAAGAACTTGTAATAATAATATGTGATGCAACAGATGCGTTTAATGGGAAATAAGAAAACAAATGCAAATTCTGTTTTGCCACATACGCCTTGCCAAGGAAAAAATACTGTTTCAATCTTCATATTCAGGAAGCTTACTGGTTTTGGGAGGAAAAAAAATGGTGTTGCATGCCAATGAGACTTGTTTTCTCTCCCACTAGAGTACCACAGCTCACTTGGAAGGGGAGGGAACATATGTCACACATGTTAGAACATGATACAAAAACTGTAATCATCTTTGAAGCAGATTGATTTCCTAAGCCATAGCATCTGTAATAGTGTCAGACAGGCCAATTCTTTTCCATAAAATCCCAAATACAGGCATAATCCATCCCAAAAGATTAAAGCTTCTATCCCAAAAGACTTAAGGCTATTGCCAAAATTTTCCCAATTTTTTCTTTAATCATGATGGAACTCTTTTGTCCAATCATAATAACAGCCTGTTAAATCACCTTCTCTGGCTTTGTAGTTAAAAAAATTATGTTTTGTCAACTTTTCCCTTGAATTCACTGCTCTTGGCAATCCTTTGGCCCTTTAATACCAGAATTCAGGACAGAAAGGAACCACTTTTCCTCATGAGCAGCCTGTGATCCAGTGATTCACTGGCACAAGATGCTTTGATCTGTTTCATGCTTTTTTGTCAGCTCCGTATTGCTAAGTGTCAGCTTCAGGACTGGGACTTAAGAATGCCAGAAACAATTGGGTTTATATGGTTTACCTTCTACGTTTTTACTGGAGCATAATTTTCCCCAATTTAATATTAATAGTGTCTTTGAATGAAAATTCTACTAAAAAATAGTTTTGAAAGAAAAAAAATCTCTTGATTTGGCTACTTTTTCACTTCCAGACAATGTTTTTTGCTTGCGGCATTTTGGGGTTTTTTTAATATTTGGTGTCAAAACTTAGCTATAACACTTCTTATTCCTTTCATACCAAAACCATAACTGAGTGCACTTACAAGTAAAAGTGTACTTTCTTTTTCTATTCCTCTCTGTATTCTTTCATGTAGTGGGGTGAGGAGGAAGCAGTTTAACTTTCACATCTCAGCTTAAATCTGTGCTTTTTTTTTTCATTTTTATATCTAGGTTCTGCCAGTGACATTTAAAAGAACTCCAAGCACTAGGTAGTAATTAATGTTCTCATTTGAAGTGGGTTTTTTTCACTGAATAAGTTTTGACTTATGCATTCTAAGGGAGGATGGATGATGTCTTCCACTTATAGGCGTGACTATATTGCCCAGTCTTTATTTGGTGAGGTTTACCCCAGACATCACTGTGTCAACAGTTTCAGAAGGTCAGATCTTGTAATAAATACTTCACCGACTCTTCAATAAGTGAATTGTGAAACTTTGGTCTTGTACAGTTTAAATTTGGAGCCTCCAACTTTGACAGATTTTACATGATATGTGGTCTTTATTTACCCTATGGGTAAGGAAGCATTTAATGCCATCCTTAATGCACAGAAGCAATGTCCTAACAATCAATGATTCTCAGCTTCATGCACACTAAATGCATGGTGTATTATACATTTTCAGGCTGCGATCATTCCGTTTGTGCTTCATATTCAATCAACCATGCAAGGGTCACATCTGTAACCTTGAAAAGGTGATGACAGAGTTGCAGGTCATCATCAGGACTAATGCTCCCTAGTAATGCTGCAGCTGCTGTGTAGGATGTTGGTCTCCAGGGAGTAGTCAGCAAAGGGTTACTCAGATTCTACAGTAGTTTTTTCTCAGCAGTGTCTATTATGAATTGACAAATTCCTGTCTTTTTCTATGTAATTGTGTACTTTGGGACTTTATTTCTTCCTGGTAGTGCTTCCTATGCTGATTATTCTTCTGTTTTAGAAAATAAGGAGAGAATGAGCAGCAAAAGTATGTGGCATTTGTTGAGAAAGCTTGTGTTTGCATAACATGACAAACTAAATCCTCGATATGTATGTTTCCAGAGTGAGTATTGTCAGAAAGATTGTTGACGTGTATCTGCAATTTTCAACAACATTCAGAATTCCCACACGCCTCTGTTTATCAGAGTTCTTTAAAGTGGTTGTTTATAGGACAATAGTATGAGTGTTGCAAGCTCAGAGGAACTTCTTGCTTCGGATAAAATGCAGAAAAATTTGAAAAAGCTGTGAGAGTTTGAGGTAGGCAGAAGTAGTACAAACGAAACCAAGAGAGAATGCTGTGCTTACATAAAGCAACTGCTGGAATTTCCTATTCTGTAATGAAAGAGCAACTGGGTAATCTAGCCTAATAAGAATGATTCCTTTTTCTCGTGTAATTGAAGCTGCTACTGCCTTATTGTGCTATTTTTCATACAAATGAAGTGATTTCCCCCTCCGCTTGGATAGGAATGACAATTGTACTCCTTCGGGATGGCCACTTAATAAACTAGTGTCTAGTTTGAGACACCAACTGCTGGATCCGGCAGATTTAGATCACTAAGCATGAAAAGTTCTTTACTCAGTTGCGTGCAGCTGCATGCTGGCCTAATTTTCCAGAGAACAAAAATGTAAATTATTTTCATTAACTTTGCTGAAATCTGTCTCATGTAATATGCCTCATGCTTCAAAGTATACTGTTAAACATCTTTATGAAGTCAACAAACATCAGAATGAGATGCAATGTGGTAATAGCAATAGTATAAGGCTTAGGTTTCCTGATTTATTGTAGTCTTCTGGTGTGACATGAGGCACGTCATCTCAGCTTCTGGTTATGTCCGTGCTCAGCGCTGTACTGGAGATACAGAACCTAGTCCTGATCACTCGTTCACTCATGTGCAGCAGAGTGCAATGTTTGCACACCCTCCCTCTCACATGCTGGGTGAATATTGCAGCACCAAGCTCCTCATGGGCTTGCTTTCAGCAAGACCGTGCTTTCCTTTAGAAGCAGCTTAGGTGCTTCTGTGCTACTCAGTGCTGTGCATGAAAGGTATTTACAGGGACATTTACAGTGACCTAAATAAGCTCTGTACTTGGAGAGCGACAGTGTTATAAGCTGCCTGGTATTAATGGTAAGAAAATTTAAAAAGCAAGTGACTTTAAGATTTAGGAATTTAAAAAGTCTTGTAATTTCTAGAGTTATAAAATCTTTTACTGTATTTCTGACAGCTGCAGTGAAAATGGCTACTACATTTTAAGTCATACAAATACAACACATCTGAAAACTTTTTTCAAATTATACTTAGTTTTTCGTATGCTTTGCAACTTCAGCAATTTGCATATTTTCCGGACTGTTATTGTATTATGATAAACAGGGATTATCATATATTTTCAGATAATGTTTTCTTAACAATTCAACTTCTATTTGTAACTCTTCCATTTATTTTAATTACTAGCACAGTGTGCAACATTTATTAATCAGCAGAGTCTTTTTAAGTTAAAATACTAAATTAGCTAACCCCATTAACACAGAATACTCCAAACAAGCAGTAATAGGAGAGGTAGTTACTGTGCAAATCGTATTATACATGCGGGTGCTCTAGGGCACAGTTAAGCATGATTACCCTCTTTTGATCCAGTATTCCTCTGCTTCTTCCAGCTAATTTCCACTGGAAATTTACAAAGTAGCGCCTTCATTTTTCCATCTTAATTTTTCTAATGAAGTTCTGGTACTTTATAACACTGGGGATGCAGATAATAAGTCTGTGTATAATTAAGAAGTTCCAGAATTTGCTGCAGAAGAGATCTCTTTTACTTCCTAAAAGAACCAGACTATGGTTTTATTTTCCACTTTACATTATCACAGACAGGGGTTAAATTAAAACAGCCAGAGGATTCTTACATTTACTGACGTTACGATAAAAGTGATTGATAGTTTATTGAAAAGGTATGTATTTAGTATATTACCAGAAACAGTATTTGTAATAATGCACCCAAGTAAGTTTCTTATGGCAAAAAGAGTGCACTAAAGATAATGTGACTAGATATGTTAAGTAAAATGTTCTGTCTTTATTTTTGTATCTAACACTTTGATTTTAATATGCACTCATTATAAACTAAATAATGGCTGACTTGCTGCAATTGTTTTGCTACGGAAAACCATTATGCTTCTTTCTTTGTACCCTGAGTGAAAAATTGCTTCAGGTATAATCCAAATTTGAAAGCTTAAAATTAATTTCATGTTTTATTAAAGAAAAAAAGAAGAAGATAAAGTATTCCCAGATTCCCGGTAGAGAAACATGGTTTGTGTGGAGCTAATTGTTCATGGAGTTCTTTAAAGGGAGATGAAATTGTTTGATTTGAATTAAATCAAGACAACAAGGAATTGAATTGCTATTGTGTAGAAACACTTTAGATAAAAATTTAACAACACTGTCCCACAGAGAGTTAATATTTTGGTGGTATTTTTACTTCTAAATTATAAAAATGTACAGTACCAACAAATGTGAAAGTTTGAAAAACCACATAAGCAGTATTCAGGGGTTTATATTCTTACTGTGCCCTGGTAGTGTAGCATGTGTGGCAGTCTAGCAGTAGATCTGACAGTTCTTTCTCAGAAGCCTGAGTATGTTTTGAAGCATTTCTGGAAACGGGATTACATGCTTGCGCTGCTAGAATGCTGGGATCTTGCCTCTTGGGCAGGTTCAGAGAATGCACTGAAGGACCACTCTGTTCTTTTGCTGCCCTTTAAATTCAAGAAAAAGTTACTGCCTCTATACTGTGTCCCACTGGTAGTTACCATGCAGTGTTGGGACACTGCTGCCCAGCAGTGAATGATGGACCTGACAAATCCTCCTCCCTGTTTGTGCTGCTGTGCTCTCCTCTCACATTGCTGTAAAATCTGGAAACCAGTAACTGCTCCTGCTTCTGTCATCTCTGTCAATCCAGCTGGAAAGCCTTCAGCGTCAAACGGGCCTCTTCCATCTCCTGTGACAATAGTAAGAGAGATTGCAATAAAAGAGACAGAATAGAGGGAAGAAATGGTAGGTGAGGAATGCAAGAAGAGAAATCACGGAAGGAGGCATGTTAACATGTTGGGGGGAAAAAAGGATTAGAAAGAGGAAGTTAATAGTAGAAGGAAGGTGCAGGACAGGATTAGTGAAGGGAGAGATAAAGTAATTTTTGTTTTTGTTAACAACAAATATCAAGGGTGTCTTTGAAATCTAAATACATACCACTAGCAGCTGTCAGGTCCTCAATTGGCTACTAAGTGAGGGTTTCTAGATCTTTTTATGCTAATTAGGTTCAATATAGTGTGGTCCTGGCAACAGTGCAGCTGGCCTTCATTACCAGTGACACTGCCAGCCTTGGTCCTGGTCCTCCTCCCTCAGGTTGTGAATGTGTAATACTGCAATTTGTAGAACCTGAGATAGTTTCTCATTTTTGGTTCCAACTCTTTCCCTCTGTTTTGAATGTATTCTTCGGCACACATCTCATTCAGGCTGTTGTGATATTTAAAAATAAAATAATTTTTAATTTTTAAATTTATTTCTCCAGGGAAAGTTCACCTCCCACTGAATCATCAACTTTTGGGAAGGCTCAGCTTATACTGACTGTGTTTTATGGCATGATAAAATATCTGTGTGGGATTTAATTCTTCTTTGATCCTGCTGCTTCTGTCTCTGTCATGTGTAATGAAAATCTGTAAGAATTTCTGAATTTTCATCTAAATCACAAGGAAAAGCTGAAACCCAAATGAAGGCATAATGAGTGAACCTTTGTAGGAAAGAAAACTATTGAAATCTAAACTTGTGCAGTTGATAATGATATCATAATATTGTCTGGATTTAATTTTCTTCTCTTTCCATCACTCTATTCTGTCACAATCAGACCACATACTGTCATTAATTTTGGGAAAAGCTGTGTCAGGTTTATACACAGAGCTAGAGAACATAATACCATTATTGAAATGTTTTGCAGTGCTATTGTTTTTTACTATTATTATTGGTTGTGGGGGTATAACGACTTTTGTATGACTCCCATTAATTTGGTTACCCTGCTTAACACGAAAAATTGTTTAAATTTTTTTAATTAATTATTCACATAGAGTAATGAAAAGTCTCACTTACTTTAAACAGACATTGAATTTACAAGCATATGATCCTTTCTTGTAGTTAGAGCATTATTGCTATAAGACTCTTCCCACCTGACTGACAGCAGAATTATAAACAGAAGAAAAAGCTTCTACTTGATACCATTACACCCTATTATAATGTTTTTTATTTAAATTTTAATATTTTTTACAGTTCAGTGTTCTTCCTTTCATTCCTTTATTTTTTTTTTTTACTCAGCCACAGAATGCATTCCAGACTGTGTGGCACATATTCCAGTTAATGATCTTAGAGGAGATATGCAGCAGAATGCAGAAGAGTGCTTTTGTGCTAAAGTAAATGTAGAGCATACTGTTACTTGTGTCTCAAAGTGTTAAAATGTTTTATTTTTTTGTTCAGAATGATAGTAGAACATACATTACTCTGAGTATTTGTTTGCCAAAAAGACAAAGATTAACTGATCCACAATAAAATCAAAACATCTATGTAGAAAATTTTACAGGGAAAACTATAATAATTTAAATCTACTTTCCTCAAATTTTTTTTACCATTTTGTGTGTAAATTTTACAGACATGGTTTTCATATTAAATTATGAATGCTATGGCTCAACTAAATTCTATGCATATATGGGCAAATCCCTAAACTGCAAACCTTGTCTTCTCAGCTATCCAATCCCCTGAGAAAGCCAATTTTCTTTCATGTCTGAACAAAAGAAAAATGTACTATTAAAATGCAATTCAGAAGTGATAAAAACTGCAAGTGGAGCAGCCGGCTCACAGCACCTTCAATGTATTCTCTGGGACACTGGGGCCACATTAATTTTTGTGTGTGTGTGATGTCCATCCCATGTGCAAATTAGCATTACAAGTACCATAATCTGTCTTATGTGAGGGTGTCATTTCCCATGGGTATACACATGCTACTGTAGCTTTGTATTATTTAAAAGTCTGCTAACTCAGTGTTTTCCTTTTACTAACTTTACATGGTATTTGTTTGTGGCACTTGATAAAATAAATTGATACAGCTGATAAAATTCTAAATACTTTCTTTTTATGAACTACAAAGAAAGAAATGTAATTTAAGAAAACACTCTAACAGTTGCTGATGAATCAGTTAGTCAAAATAAATAATTTTCTGAATCTGTATCAGCTGAGAGACAAAGAAAGTTATTTTAATCCACACTTTATCAAGAACTTGGTTGACTCCCTAACTCTTATAGGCACTCTGGATTCTGAAAAACTTTTGACTGGGGAAACTTTCAACTGAAAAACTACACCTGTTGTCATGGCAGTTAAAGTGATATTTTAAACTTCTGAAGCATATATTTCTAATTTCACTGTATAATATCTTTCCTGCACTTCTAGAATAAAGAATGTATGTTGTTTTTTCAGAACACCAGCAACGATAAGCTTAATTCACGTTTTCCTTTATAGTAGAATTTACTTGTTCACTCTTGTGATTTTCTTGCAAACTAAAATAGATGTCACTAAGACATCTTTGTAGGGTGTTTTGCAGATCTTGCAGATCCTTTATATAAAAGACATTTTTCACTTCCCTTCATGCAGTTTGCTCTGGAAGCTACCCAGAAAACTTGTAGTTGTCCATGACACTTAGGGACATCCATCTGAAAAACTCTTCCAGCAGATAGCTGGAGCTTCACTGTTCACTGGCACTGTATAAGCAGGGAGTCCATCGTCAGTATGACCAAAATGAAAATATCCAACTCTGAACAACTGCTGATTATGACATAATTATAACTTAAGAGTAAAGTACACAATTTGAGAATTCTTGGCTTGGTGATCTGCCAATATGTGACAGACAATGTGAAAGCTTCTGTTTTGCTAAATGAGAGAATTCTGCTACATTTTAAATTCTAATTTAGAATTGCTAGATTTTGGTAAATATGGTTTATTTATCTTTGGTTAACAGATGTCAAAAGATGCATACCTGGTTTAAGGTACAGGGAGGATTCTTTATGGTGCAAGTCTGCCTTGGTTTATGCTTATACTGCTGGCATGCTTAAAATATTTCTGTCCTGAGGGAATGATCAGGTTAAGGTTGTGTGTTGGGAGCCTACATGACTTGCAGTGTGGATGCAAAGTTCTCCAAAAGTGATATCCATCCTTGTGCATGGTGAGTGCTTGCCACTGACAGGTGGCACAGACTGCACTGCCTGCTAAGGTTTGAGGGATCAAGATGCAGATCCCAGCAAATTGAACCCTGGTCATTCTTCACATCACACCAGTTGTTAGTGCAGATACAGAAAAAGTAATAATCTAGTAACGCAAGTGAATCAAGTTAGATCTTTGTACAGAAAGTCGTCATTTTATCCTGTTGAAACTCTATATCTCTTTGCTCCAAATTGAACTTGAAAGAAGCCACAGGAGAAATTGCAGTAATCCTCTCACAATACCAAGGGGAAACATTAAGAAAGTAGTGAAAAATAGCAGGAACGTGTCTCCACGTCATCTCTTGCAGCATTGTTATCCATTATTTACATTCATCCTGTGGCATCTAGAGAAGACCATAACTGATTTTTAAAATATTCTTGAATTTCAGATTCCTGCCATTTTCTTCATATCATAAAAATGAGAATGAGAAGTATGAGCCGTCACTTTGTAAGTCAGGCAAATATGTCCGAGAAGCTTATGGAACCAAACATTTCAGAGAAGTATATCCTAATAAGTGGATAGCAGACAAGGTAAGTCATTGCAAAAATCAAAGAATTATTTACTTTTTTAGATGGCTATTTTATTAGAACTAAGTGAATTTGAGTCTGATCCAGAGATCACAGAATCCAGTGGGATTCTTTCTAGCATGTTATAGAATCACATAGAGCTGATGAGATGTCAGATTTCGTTGACTCTCTGGTAAGTTCAGTTTGAGGAACTTTAACACCTGTTGTACCTACAAGATCAGGACTTAAGTGCCTGATTAAGTACAGCTTCAGTTATGTACGTTTTGCTAAGTTTTGTTCTATTTGTATTGCCTTTTATGATTTAAGAGAGATTGTATATTTACTCTTGAACATCAAGATAAAGCTTCAGGAAATGATGGAAAAACCAGACTAAAACAACAAAGTATTTTACTGCTTACATTCTTTGAAAAAATCTTGAAACTAGTGAATAGCTGTTTCTCTCTTAAGACCGTCTCATTAAGTTGCTTGCTTTGTCAGGAGCATCTCATATATTTCTGCAAGAGGTAGTTTTTCTCAGAACATGTTCTAACGTGACTTTGTGTGGTGTTTTGCATTGTGCTTATTTGCATTAGATATCATAATCACATTAAAATTTCCAAGTACAAGAAAGATAATGGACTTTGTGGCTTGGTGCTGCACTCTCTGCCAAGTTAATTAAGGGGACTACAGCATCTTTTGTAGGAGGAAAGGCTGAGACAGCTGGAACTCTTCAGTCTGGAAAGAGAAGGCTCAGAGGAGATCTTACTAAAGTGTATAAACATCTGATAGGAGGGAAAGAAGAAGAGGGAGTCCAGCTTCTTTCAGACTAAGTAGTGTCCAGTTACAGAACAAGAGGCAATGGACACAAGTGAAGTGCATGAAATTCCAGCTGAACACAAAAAACCACTTTTTAAAATTTTTTTTCATTTTTCTGTGAGTGTGACAGAGCACTGGCACAGGTGG